TTGTTAAAATAAATGTCATTTTAAGTCAAGTAACTCCCAGTCTTAGGCATACTTGGGTGTACCCTCACCAGTGACATAGGCAACAAAAATGTTAAACAGTAGAGCTCAGATAAAGGCAGTAGGTATCCAGACACATCTCAGGTATGCTGACTACACATTTGGATTGCAAACCAATAAACTCCCTTCAACTTCAGTCTGCTTACCAACTGTGATTGCTGCAAGTATTGCTGGTTTCATTATCGTGGGTTTATGGGTCTGTTCACTCTCCAGTTTATACATATTTTAGTTCTAACATATATTAGTGAAGCATTTGCAGGTTCTTAGAGGTTAGTCTTTAAATTTCAAAATAGGTATTAAGCATTACCTTTTAATTTTTTAAGAATGTTTACTGATTTTAGAAACAGATATAGAGTTCTCAGCTGCTGCTTCTCTCCCCAAATTCCCAGACAGGTGGGACTGGGCTGAGTCCAAAGACTAGAACTAACTCTCCAGGTCTCCCACATGGGTTGCAGGAACCCAGTAACTTCCCTTCTCACCACTGCCTTCCCACGATCTGCCTTAGCAGGAAGCTAGAGTCAGGAGAAGAGGCAGGTGTCCAACCCAAGCACTCCAGTATGACACATCTACATCTTAACTGCCAGGCCAAATTCTTGCCCCTAATCCTTTAATTATAATAAATGAAAAACAAAAATTTAAGTTGAATATGTAGGGAACTACACAAATGCTTTGTTTCTATTCGTCTCAAGGATAGGAGGGTGTTCAAAGGAAGAGTGTTGTCTGACCAGAGAATGGGTGTATATCATGGATGCGTAACTTAGAAGGCAAGGAATTATACAGTATAGGAAGAAAAAATAGTATATAGTTTCCTTCCTAAAACCATACCTAACCTACCTGAGTTTTCTGAGAAGTTTTTCTGTTTCTGACATAGGACAAATTCCATAGCAATTCCAAATAACTCATTTTAGATTTTCTCAAAAAATTTAGATTATTTATGAATAGAAATTCTTAAGATTGTATCTCTGGGGGCTGGTGTTATGGAGTAGTGCGTAAAGATACCACCACAATACTGGCATCCCATGTGAGTGTCGATTCAAGTCCCAGCTGCTCCACTTCCAATCCCACTCCCCACTAATGTGTTTGGGAAAGCAACAGAGGATGGCCTAAGTGCTTGAGCCCCTACACTCACATAGGAGACCTGAAAGACCAGGCTTTCAGCCTGGCCCAGCCCTGGTCATTGTGACTATTTGGGTAGTGAAGCGATGGATGGAAGATATCTCTGTCCCTCTTTCTATAACTCTGCCTTTCAAATAGATTAATTAATTTTTAAAAAAGACTATCTCTGGCCTTTTTCTTTTGGCATTAGCATGATGTGTCTTTGGCCAGTAATTAACCCAAGTATTAATTTTCTCAAGTATAAATATTTAAGGTGATATCTTCAACTTTTTATGGCCCAGCACACTTAAGAGATATAAGGCATTCCCGTTAGTGATAGTATTTGCAGTCCAAATCTTTTTTTTTTTTTTTAAGATTTATTTATTTATTTGAAAGTAAGAGTTACACAGAGAGGAGAGGCTGAGAGACAGAGAAAGAGAGAGAGTGTGTCTTCTAGCCTATGGTTCACTCCCCAATTGGCCGCAACAGCCAGAGCTGCACCAGTCTGAAGCCAGGAGCCAAGATCTTCCTGGTCTCCCATGCGGGTGCAGGGGCCTAAGGACTTGAGCCATCTTCTACTGCTTTCCCAGGCCACAGCAGAGAGCTGCATCAGAAGTGGAGCAGCCAGGTCTCGAACCAGCGTCCTTATGGGATGCCTGCAAGGGCATTAACTCACTGCGCCACAGCACTGGCCCCTAGCAATCTGAATCTTAAAACAAAGATGCTAGCTCAATTTAGGGAGGAAAAAGAGGTAAGGTGATAACCCTTCTCTCAGCTTCCTTTAGGGTCACTAGCATAGGTCTGGTGATAACCAGGATTCCTCCAGCTCTTAAATTCTGTGATTCTTTCCTGCTGCTTTCCATGCCACCTATACACCTGTTTCCTTGTAATAATAGAGCCCCAATTTTGCCCCTGCATACGGAGGAGGAGGGAAGGGAGAAAGGAAAGGAGACACTCTGATCTAATGAAAGAGCTTAATTTAGAATTGTTGTTCATGCTTTGTCTTATGCACAGGAACAACCACTGTTCTTTATTTAGATGGGAAATCAGTTAAGCTTGAAGTAGAAGTTAGGAATTCACTTGCTGGTATGTTGGGAAAAATGTCATAGAATAGAATTTGGAATTTCTCTTTTTCAAAGCCAAATGAAGAAAGAAAATTATCTGAAAACATATTAAAATGTTCACATAGCATGAAAAACATTAGTTGTGGAAATCGAGTTTCTACCTTATTTCCTCCTTGGTTAGAATATGTTGACTATATTGGAGCCAACACTCTGGTACCGCTGGTTAAGCCGCTGTCTGCAGCGCTGGCTTCCCATATGGGTGCTGATTCTAGTCCCAGCTGCTCTGCTTCTGATCCAGCTCCCTGCTATGGCCTGGGAAAGCAGCCAAAGATGGCTCAAGTCGTTGGGCCCCTGCACCCATGTGGGAGACCGGGAAGAAGCTCTTCGCTCCCGGCTTCTGCCTGGCCTAGCCCTTGGCCATTGCGGCCATTTGTGGAGTGAACCAGTGGTTGGAAGATACCTCTCTTTTTCTCTCTCATTCTCTTTTCTCTCTCTGTAACTCTGCCTTTCAAATAAATGATAAATTTTTTTAAATGTAGAATATATTATCAGATACTGGAATTTGTTAAGCTTTCTGATTTTTATTTTCTGTGTGGGACACATAAAGTGTCAGACTTAAATTATATATAAAACACATGGGCAATGGAAAAATATTTGAATTTTGTATAAAAGAGAAATAATGTGATGTAAAAATATTTGGGGGCAGGTGTTTGACGCAGTGGTTAAGACATCTGCATCCCGTATCTGAGTTGTGAGGGTTCTAGTCCTGGCTCCACTTGAAATTCAGCTTCCTGCAGATGTGTACCCAGCAAGGCAGCCCGTGATGGCCCAAGTAGTTGGGTCCCTGCTGCTCCTGTAGAACACCTGGATTGAGTTCCTAGCTGCTGACGCAGCTCTAGCTATCACGGGCATTTGAGGAGTAAACTGGCAGATGGGAGACTGATCTCTCTCTGCCTTTCAAATAAATAAAAATTTAAATTTTATATTTATTGTTGAATAATTCACAGTACTTTATATAGTATATCAGTTGTATCATAACTGGAGAAAATATTAAACTTCAATTAGAAGTTAGTAAAAATGAAGGTGTAATCCCCTCCCCATTGTTCATAGACGCCCTGACCTAAAGGTTTTATTTCCTCAGACATGTAGAAGGAAGGCAGATGTAATCCTCTACTTCTCAAGAGATTTAATCTTCCAGGGAAGTAGAGCTCGGGATCTTTTCCATATTTAGCCCTTAATGCTTTTCAAGCCTTTAAAATAAACAAGTGGCTGATTGTTAAGGAGTGATTGTCAGTATCTGTTGCATTAGGAACTTGGCTTATTGCCACTAATTTCATTTCAGATGACTAAAGAAATAGGTATTTATAAAAGCAGTTCGATCGTTTTATTTGGAAATTAAATCAGAACTTAGTAGTAGTAATGGATGCTTTATTCATGTCTTGACTTTGAGCTGCTATTGCCATATATGCGTTTGTCATTAAAGAAGAAAATGTAACCTATGTTATAAGCCCTGGGTTATCCTTCTACTTTATGGAACTATTGCTTCATCAAGCTAGTGTGATAACTGATTTATTGTGGCTAAAAAATATATGTATAAATAAGGCATAAAATTTGCCATTTTAATCATTTGTAAGTTTGTAACTTGGTGGCAGGCATATTACCACTGTTTTTCCATCACCCCAAACCACAACTCTGTACACATCAAGCAATAGCATCTGTTACCCCATTCAACCTAGCCTCTGGGAACCTCTAATTAATTTACTTTGTCTCCATTAAGTTGCCCTCTCTTGAGATTTCATATAAATAGAATTATACAGTGTCACTCCCCGTCTTCGTGGAGGAACGACACAGGACCCTGCGCTGTTCTTTCGTCTGCTCGGCCCTCCCCGGGTTTGCTGCTGGTTCTTCCCGGGTTGGCTGCTGGTCCTTCCCGGGTTGGCTACCGTCCCTTCCACCTCCGTGGAAGGGCGGTTCCCCCTGCCACATTCCCCACTTCCGTGGGGGAGCGGCACACCGCCGGCCGGCTCTCTCGGGGGCTGCACAGGTGTTCCCCTTAGATGTTCCTGGTGCATGTTGTCTCTCTCCTCCTTTATAGTCCTCTTCCGCCAATCCCAACTCGGCTGCCCACATGCCGAGTACGCTGCTCTCCTCCAATCAGGAGCAGGATCAGCTCCTGGAGGTCATCACTCAAGTTGGCAAGAGGCAGCTGCGTAGAAGCTGTTTCCTCCTCTCCCAGCGCCATATTGTGGGAGAGCAGATGCATAGAATAAGTCTTAATTCCAGTAACTTAGTCTAGTCCGAGTTGCTCCCCACAATACAGTATCTCTCTTCTTGTGTCTGGTGTCTGGCTGATTTCCCTTAAGTCCATGAGACTCATCCATGGTGTAGCATGTATCAGAATTTCACTCTTTTGACCGTTGAATGGTATCCCATTATATGCATGTGCCACTTTCTGTTTATTCATCCATCTGTTGTTGTGAATAATGCTGCTATAAACTTGTACAAGCAGCCGAGTCTTCATTTTCATTTCTTTTCAGTATATACCTAAGAGTTGAATTGTTGGGTCATGTAGTAGTTGAGTATTTAATTTTTTGAGGAAAATGATAGTTTTTTTGTTTGTTATATAAAAGTCCATTCTGTTGTTTATTATCCTTTCATTAATGTTTCATAAGTTTTTTTTAATTTTCGCTTATTTCCTTGGTTAACTTTTGTTGGTAATTTTTAAGAAATTATTTGTTTTGATCATTCATTTTTTTCTTTTCTTTTCAATTGTTTGTTTTTCAGACCCGAGTCAGAACTCCATCACAGGGGAACACAGCCAACTGTTAGGTATAGTATTACGTTGGGATCGACTCTCTCTAAAGTCATCCCTCACCTGTTTATTATACCAGGCATTATATGCCTGTTTAATTCTATTTTCTGCCCCTTCCTTTTCTGCTTATCCTATGCTGTTATTCCCTTTACTTTTATTCTGCTATTCCTACTTCATAAGTTTTAGGAAACTACTTCTTTGATTGCTAAGACTAAGTTTAGTTAGATTAAAAAATAATGTTACATAGTCTGTGGTTTATAAAAATCTCAGAATAAGAACCTCTTTTTCCAGGATGGTTTTGAAAAAAAGATATTCTGTAATGGGCTTTGCAGCTGCTTTTCTCTTATTACTTTTCTTGACGTTTTGATCACCTTCATCTTAATTGCGGAAATAGCATGGCCTTCAGCAACCCATTGAAACTGGTGTTGTAATTCCTTGTCTGTGAAACAAGTTATGAAAGTGAATTCATTTCCTCTAGGTATCACTTAATTAAATTATAATAAGCTTATAACTTGGCAAGAATTTCTCAAGATCTCAGAACTGATAAATTTCCAAGACATAAAAATAAAACATTCTAGTGAGAAAATCAGACAGTACAAAAGGTAAAAAGAGTGTTTGTTTCAGCAGCACTGATACTAAAATTGGGTTGATATGGAGATTAGTGTGGCCTCTCCACAAGGATGACACACAAACTTGAAGCATTCCATACTTTGCTTTCCTTTTCTTAAGTTCATAAGTAGGGAAATGAGACTGGTAAAGTGACTTACCCAGTTGAGGACCTTTCAGCTTCAAGCCCCATCTCCTACTCCTCATCTTAAAAAAGAAAGAAAAATAGAAACAAAATAAAAGTTTTTTAAATATCTCCTCTCCCACTACTGTATATAACTATTGTTTTTCCATTTTGTGCCCATGGGGTTATACTGTATAGATCTGCCATGTTTTACAGGCTATTTTTTTTTTTTTTACAACATTTTATCTGGGTTATCTCATTAGTATCTAAATGGTGGTGGAATAGTATTCCTTTGTGCCCCAGCCTATAATTTTTTTTTAGATCTGTTTTATTTATTTGAAAAGCAGAGTGACAGAGAGAAAAGGAGAAACAAAGAAAGAGATCTTCCATCTGCATGTTCACTCCCCAAATGGCCACAATAGCCAAGACTCCGATGTGGCATGTAGGTGTTATAAGTGGTGGCTTAACCCATTGCACCACGATCGGCATACACTACCATTTAACTCAGGCAGTATCCTACTCATGAGAGTTTTAGGTTATTTCCAGGGCTGTTACTGTTGCACATGTTGCAACATGAGTGCCTTGTACTTATATTCTCATGGCCAGAGTATTTATAGGGTAAATTCCTTGCTCAAAGGGTATATAAATTTCCAAAAAAAAAAAAAAAATCAGTTTAAGCTGTACTCACCTAAAAGGGGTATGGAGGAATGCTTGGCACCCTTGTCATCCAAAGTAAGTATTACCAATCTGGTTGTTTTATGCATATATAAAGGGAACAAGTTTCATGTATTTCATATACACAGTTTTAAGAACATAATAATACTTTTCATCCTACCCTCCCTCTTTGCTACCACTGTCCTTCCCCCTCCCCCATATTTTCTTATTTTTCTTTTAATTTTTGCAGTGACATACTTTCAGTTTACTTTATAATCACATCTGAGTCCTATATTAAATAAAGAATTCAACAAGTAGTAACTAGAAAAAACATTGTTCCTCAGGAGTATTCACAAGGGCTATAAACAATAATCAAATTGCATAAATCATTTTAATTATATTTTATACTGTATGTATTACTGCAAATCAGATAAAATATGATATTTGTTTTTTGGGGACTGGCTTTTTTCACTAAGCATAATGGTCTCCAATTCCATCCATTTGGTTACAAAACTATTTCATTCTTTTATATGGCTGAGTAATATTCTAATGTCTTTATCTGGTCATCAGTTGATAGACATCTAGGTTGATTCCATAGCTTAGCTATTGTAGGTTTGCTTCTGTAAACATAGGGGTACAGATAACTCTCTCATATACAGATTTTATTTCCCTTTGGTAAATTCCCTTCCCTGCATACCAGTGATAAATCCCACTTCACCTGGGTGAATGATCTTTCTGATGTTACTGGATTTGGTTAGGTAATATTTTGTTGAGGATTTTTGCATCTGTGTTCATCAGGGATATTAGTCTGTAGATCTCTTTCGGTGTTGTATCTTTTTGTGATTTTCAAATTAAGATGATACTGGCCTTATAAAAGGAAGATCTGGGGAGATTGATCCCTTTTAGTTGTTCTGAACAGTTTAAGAAGAATTGGGATTGGGGCTGGCACTGTGGCGTGCCAGACTAAGCCTCCACCTGCAGTACCAGCATGCCATATGGGTGCCGGTTCAAGCCCCAATGCTCCTCTTCTTATCTAGCTCTCTGCTATGGCCTGAAAAGCAGTGGAAGATGGCCCAGGTGCTTGGGCCTCTGTACCCATGTGGGAGACCCAGAAGAAGCTTCTGGCTCCTGGCTTCAGATTGGCTCAGCTCTGGCCATCACAGCCATTGGGCAGTGAACCAGTGGATGGAAAACCTTTCTTTCTGTCTTTCTTTTTCTCTGTCTGTAATTCTGCCTCTCAAATAAATAATAAAAAAATTAAAAAAAAAAAAAAAGAAAAAGAATTGGGATTAGTCTTAAGCGGTAGAATTCAGCAATGAAATTGTCCAATCCTAAACTTTTCTTTGTGGGGAGGGTTACTTTTTTAATTTTTAATTTTTTTTTTTTTTTTTTGCCAGGCAGAGTTAGTGAGAGAGAGAGAGAGAGAGAGAGAGAGAATTATAGGCAGTGAGAGAGACAGAGAGAAAGGTCTTCCTTCTGTTGGTTCATTCCCCCAGTGGCCGCTATGGCTGGCACTGCGCCGATCCAAAGCCAGGAGCCGGCTACTTCCTCTCAGTCTCCCATGCGGGTGCAGGGACCCAAGCACTTGGGCCATCCTCCTCTGCCCTCCCGGGCCACAGCAGAGAGCTGGACTGGAAAAGGAGCAACTGGGACTAGAATCCAGGGTGCCGGCGCCACAGGCGGAGGATTAGCCAAGTGAGCCACGGCGCCGGCCAGGGAAGGTCTTTATTACTGATTCAGTCTCCATCTTGGTTATTGGTCTATTTAGGTTTTCTGTGTCTCTTTGCTTCAATTTTGGTAAATTGCATGTGCCCAAGAATCTATCCATTTCTTCTAGATTTTCCAATTTTTTTGGCATATAGCTATTTGTAGTAATTCCTGATGATTCTTTTGATTCTGTGATATCCATTGTAACATCACCTTTTTCATCTCTGATTTTATTAATTTGGGTCTTTTCCTTTTGGGGGGGTGCTGAGCCAATGGTTTATCAGTTTTATTTTTTTTTCAATAGCTCTCATTTCACTGATCTTTTGTATCCTTTTTTAAAAATCTTATTTGAATGGCAGAGTTACACTGAGGGAGGGACAGAAAGAGAGATCTTCATCTGCTGGTTCGCTCTCCAAATGGCTGCAACAGCTGGCTCTGGGCCAGGCCAAAGCCAGGAGCCAAGAGCTTCATCCACATCTTCCACAGGGTTCAGGGGCCCAAGCACTTGGGCCATCTTCTGCTGCTTTCCCAATTGCATTTGCAGGGATCTGGATCAGAAGTGGAGCAGCCAGTACTTGAACTGGCACCCATATGGGATGCTGGCATTGCAGGTGGCTGCTTAATCCATTATGCCACAATGCCAGACCCCTTAGTATCATTTTTTTAATTTCTTTTTTAATTTTTTTATTTTCTTTTATTTTTTGACAGAAAGAGTGGACAGTGAGAGAGAGAGAGATAGAGAGAAAGGTCTTCCTTTGCCGTTGGTTCACCCTCCAATGGCCGCCGCAGCCAGCGCGCTGCGGCCAGCGCACTGCGCTAATCCGATGGCAGGAGCCAGGTGCTTATCCTGGTCTCCCATGGGGTGCAGGGCCCAAGCACTTGGGCCATCCTCCACTGCACTCCCGGGCCACAGCAGAGAGCTGGCCTGGAAGAGGGGCAACCGGGACAGAATCCGGCGCCCCGACTGGGACTAGAACCCGGTATGCCAGCGCCGCAAGGCAGAGGATTAGCCCACTGAGCCACGGCACCGGGTAAATTTCAATTTTGTTTGTTTCTTTTCTGATTTTTCTTCTTCGTTTCCTCCTATTAATTTTGGACTTGGTTTGTTCTTATTTTTCTAGATCCTTGAGATGCATTATTAGATCATTTATTTGATGCCTGTCCAATTTCTTGATGTAGGCACTGATTACTGTAAACTTTGCTCTTAACACTGTTTTTGTTTTTGATATGTTATGTTGTCATCTTCATTCATTTCTAGGAATTTTTTTATTTCCCTTTTGATTGCTTCTGTGACCCATTGTTTATACAGAAGCATGTTGTTCAGTCTCCATATGTTTGTGTATTTTCCTGAGTTTCATAAGTTGTTAATTTCCAGCTTCATTCCATTGTTGTCAGAAGAGATACATGGTATGATTTTTCTGCTTTTCTTTTCTTTTTTTTTAATTTGTGGAGACTTATATTATGGCTTAGCATGTGTCCTATCCTAGGGAATGTTCCATGCACTTATAAAAAGACTGTATTCTGCTGCTATTGGATGAACTGTCCTGCAGGTATCAATTAGATCCATTTGGTCAGTAGTATAAAATAGCTCTGTCCCTTCTTTGCTGTTTTTGTTGTCTAGTTGATCTATCCATTGATGAAAGTGAGGTGTTGAAGCCCCCCATTATTATTGTATTGGAGCCTATGTCTCCCTTTATATCATTTACATTTGTTTTAAATTGCTGGGTGCCCTAACACTGGGTCCATATACATTTACTATAGTCACATCTTCCTGTTGAATTGATCCCTTAATCATCACGTAATGTCCTTCATTGTCTATTTTAACGATTTTTTAAAAAGATGTATTTATTTATTTGAAAGTCGGAGTTACACAGAGAGGAGAGGCAGAGGGAGAGAGAGAGCGTGCGCACGCGAGAGCAAGAGAGA